CTGCCTGAATTGCCATGACACAGACTTCTTCACTGGTAGCACCCGTGTTGCAGAATGCAGTCCGCTCTGAAATATGGGAGGCCTCATCTTTATTGGCACTCTGCTGGCTTTGGAAGATGCACCTGTTCACACAGGCATTCCCTTGATCTCTCAACCTGAGCCTCCTGTTTCAATGTCTCTCCTGCATTGGTCTCTACAGCCATAGCAGGTGCTGTAACTCTGTCTCTCTCCCCCAAAGGCACACTCCTTCATTGCCTCCTGAGACAGATGGATGCCAACCATAGCTGTTTTCCTAGGATTGATTTGTTGTGTATTTTAGCTGGGGGTGTTAACATTTGTGTAACTGGCTCCCATAAATAGTAAACTACTTAGAAATCTATTTTAGCATTAAATTGTATCTAAATGTAATACAAATACAGTGGCACCTCCGTTTGCAAACTTAATTCATTCCAGAAGTCCATTCATTAGCTGAAACTGTTCTCAAGCCAAGGAGCGCTTTACCTAATGGGGCTTCCCACCACAGGCGCTCTTCCCCTGGTTGGATTCTGTTTACTTTCCGGGGGAAAGTTCACTGGTGAGAACGCCTACTTCCGGTTTCGTGGCGGCCGTTCCCCGAAGCGTTTGTGGACTGCACTGTTCACAGATTGAGGTACCACTGTAATATGATATGCACAACTGTTCCGGTGTACACGTAGGCAGGTAAGAATCCTACAGGCATGTATACACACACAAACACATACACAAAACCATGGGATACTCTCTGCACAGAGGGATCCCACCATGGCCATTGCTTTCCCTTTCTCCAACAACCTCCCAGGGGAATGCCAGCAAGAGTAGGAAGACAATGAGGCAAGTGATGGCAAATGAGAGCAAGCAAAGGCAATGTAAATGAATGTGAGGTTTTGCAAAGTGCTTTTAAAAGGTTACTGAAAGGAAGGAGGCTATTTGGCACTGCCAAAAATGCTCCCCCCTCCCCCCAAAAAAGAAGAAATGTGAATCAGTTCAGCTTTAGTTTCAAACCCCATCAGCTACCACAGTGAGCACTTCAATGTCCTTACTTAACATGGGCGTTAAGTGCCCAATGCTGTGACAGTTTAATTTCTCCCCTTGGTGCAGTTTCTAAGCTGTATGATGCAGCCTGAACATAATACATAATAAAACCTTACACTTGTCATAGCACAGTTTGTCCTGGGCAGAATCTTTAATTCCATTGACAATGCAAGAGCCAATCACAGACTCTCGCTTAGCTTCCACATATTCCAAAATGAATATGCAGTGTTGGCGGCGGCGGGGGACATACGAGTGTTTGGGGTATCATGGGAGGAGGGTAATGAGTGGGATGAAACCAGCCACAAATCAGCTTCCTTGGGCCTTCTGCATATTTAGAACAGGAGCATTTGAGAGGCAATGAGAGACTCTGTGAATTCTATGACAACTCCCTCTTTCTTGTAACCCTCTTCCAAAGAGAAGCGACATTTTAATAAGCAGGTTCGTGCAGCTTGAATAGCCGATCTGTTATCTCTAGAATTAGAAAAGGACGAGGGTGCTGGAATGTATAAAACATGCAGGTCTCAATAGATTTGTGCATGGAAGATGAATACTAGGGTGGCTCCTTATGCCTCTCCTTCCCGTGTTCTATTACTGATAAGTAATAAGCAATTACTGGAAGGGACAAGAAGGAATGCCAGCAATCTCAAGCAGCCCTGTGACAGAAATTGTAAATCACAAGACACCTGTAAAGCAGAGGTGGGGAACCTTTTGCAGTCTGTGGGTCACATTCCCTTGTGAGCAACCTTCTGGGGGCCACATGCCAGTGGTGGGAGGGGCCAGAGACCAAAATGAAAGGAGCAACAAATGCAACGCTTACCCTTGTACAGTAGGCTACATACCAGCCATGCAAAAGTCAATGGTTTCTGTGCACACACGTTTTCTCTACCCAGGCCAGCAAAATCTATCCCATTACAGCCAGAAATAGAACTTGAGCAGGACCATGGAAGGGAGAGTCTGGAGGGCCATGGTTGCCCTCCCCTGGTCTGAAGTTCCCTGTCTGCAGCTGGCTCAGTATGGGAGAAGGAGACAGTTGTCTCACTCTCTGTAGCACCAGGGCAGCTCATAGGAAAGTGATGGCCCAATTCTTGCTGCTCCATGGCACACTTCCTGATCACATCTATAAGTCTGGGTTGGGGAGCTTTTGGTCTTCTAGATGTTGCTGGTCTACAACCCCCATCATCCCTCTGGGAGCTTGCAATCCAGCAGCATCTGGAGGGCCACAGCTTCCTGGTGCCTCAGGCTTGAGGAAGTCATCAGCCACAGTAGTTCTCTAAGACTTCTGAAGTCTAGCTTGGTCTATCCTAAGACCTGCTCCTGCTTATTTATCCTTTTAGAACCTGACCTCTGCTGGATCAGACCAAAGATCCATGAGAGACCAACATCCATCATCCAGTAGCCAACTAAATGGCTATGGGAAGCCCGCAAGCAGGACCTGAATGCAACAGACCTCTCCCCACTTGTGATTCCCAACAAGTAGTTCTGCACTGAGTTATCTTCCTGTGGCCTCCTTTGGAACCCAACCTCTTGCCTATCTTGGCCTACTTTCCCTTTCATATGACCCTGGGGCCGTACTCTCCATCTTCAGGGCATGAGGGCAGGGATGTGGTCTGGGGAAGAGAATTGCCCTCAAGGTCAGCACCAGATGCTTCTACTGACACGGAAGAACTTGTGCAAGAGGGGCCCATTGTGCCAATCCCACTCTGGACAAAGGCAACTTTGCTCCACACCCACCCTAGTGGAAGAAGAGTCTCCCTTGCAGCTTCAAACCTGATAACTACTAAAGCAGGTTGAGATTCGTTAAATGAGGAGGTTCTACTCACTGAATGTGCAGCTAACTACTCGGACTTGCAGCTCCTTTTCAAAGCTCAGTCTCAGGTTCACTGGTGCTGAAACTTGGGTTTTGCGCTTATGGAGGCTCTCTGGCTCTCCATCTCTGGGATGGAGCTGTCCAGGGTGCTTAAGTTTGCCTCAGCCCTTCCTTACATAACCTCATCTTGCTCAATTTGCCCAAACCTGAACAGGATGTCTGGCCTGATCCATCAGAGCTTTTCTTATGTTCTCATTACTCACACCTGGTGCCCCAGATTCCCAACAAGTACCCACCTTTTCTTGAAATATTAACCCACATAAAAATGTTTCTAAATAAATAAAGTAAGTCAATTTAGTCTTGAGAAACCACATTGTATGTGTCTGCTTTGGGAGGTGCTGGGGGCAGCTCTCTGGGAAAGCAAAATTATTGTAGATGTTGCCATTATGGAAGATTTGTATACTGTTTAATCAACATAAACCTCTAAGTAGTTTACATAAAACAATATAAATATTCATAAGAAAAAAATACTGGGGGGGGGGTTCAAGTTCATGAAAATATGAATAAAATTGGCGATTTTAAAAGCAAATATGCATTAAAAAAATTACATTGGGACCCAGGACTTGCTGGTGAAGAGTGGATAATAAAGACATTTATTAATGGTGGTGGTGTTGTCTAGATACACATTCCTAAACAAAACAGTTTTAGCAGGAACTGAAAATTACACTGCAAAGGCACCTGCCTTACTGCAATGGATTTTGAAAGGAGGTAACAGCAGGGGAAAGTAGCAGAGCTCCTTGTGGACCTAAAGAACAAAAAGCCCACCTGAGGGCAATGAAAGAAGGGCTGTCTTCAGCTCTGCTCCACTGCCTCTGCTGACTAGGTCTCCAAAGTTCTAGATGACACCCTTGCTGAAAGCCACATCTTCCATCCATGTGGCTTATCCACAAGTGATGAAGGGAACTCCCATTTGTACCGGTGACAAAAAGGCTTTTAAACATTTACTGTGTTTTTCCAAAGCTTGGCCATTTACGAAATTGCAACAATGGACCCCCTTATCCCTTCCTCCCTGACCCATAGATTAGAGGGCTTGTCAAAACAAAGCCAGGGGAGTGAGGCATGGGGGTTGATCAAAGCTAGGAGGCAGGGAAATGAAATTTGGTGTATCTCCCAAAAGCTATAATTAACCAAGCTGCTCAGATGAAATAAGTAAATACATGATTATTCAGCCTTGCCCGGAGGCAAGCTTGTAGCACACCACATGGTACAGTCCCTTTCTGACAATTCACCCAGCAAATCAAGTGGATTGCATACTTAGAATATCGCTGTTGTTATTGTTCCTGCAGCATGCCCCAGGTCTGAGTGGCACCTTAAGTAGCAAACAGGCTACACTTAATATACATTGGTCCCTGAAGCAACTGGGTGCACAGCCCATTTCTGGCCATGTTGCTGAAGCAAGTGACATTACTTGGTGCTACAACCAGTTCAACTAGTTCTTCCCTTTAGGTAAAGGGTAAAGGGGACCCCTGACCATTAGGTCCAGTCGTGGCCGACTCTGGGGTTGCGGTGCTCATCTCGCTTCATTGGCCAAGGGACCCGGCGTACGCCTTCCGGGTCATGTGGCCAGCAGGACTAAGCCACTTCTGGCGAACCAGAGCAGCGCACGGAAACACCGTTGACCTTCCCGCCGGAGCGGTACCTATTTATCTACTTGCACTTTGACGTGCTTTCGAACTGCTAGGTTGGCAGGATCTGGGACCGAGCAATGGGAGCTCACCCCGTCGTGGGGATTCGAACCGCCGACCTTCTGATTGGCAAGTCCTAGGCTCTGTGGTTTAACCCACAGCGCCACCCGCATCCCATTCTTCCCTTTAGAAAGAACAATATTCAGGTTTTCACCACAGTCCTTGTAAGCAGCGCTTCCATAAACAGACATTAGAAAACACAGCCCAATCTGGGAGTGTTTCTCGACAGCAGTGAAAATTGGGCAGATAATCTCAGTTCAGCCCAGGGTTCCATCTGCTGCATTTTAACCCATTGCATATGACTGTTAAATGCACACTGTCACTCACATTGAGTTTCCAAATGGAGGAAGGCTACAAACCAAATGAAATAGACTAACTCAGAGGCATCCATGACTTACGGAACTGCTCCAGGTCATCGCTGCTTTCTGACTCAGGCATGGCTGTGATTGTCAACAGGGGACAGGGGTTTCCTCCCAGAGTGTGGCACAGAGTCTGCCTCCTGAAGAAGACTTTCTTTGCATTCCTGGCTTGCTCCAGGATGTCAAGATGAGACTGGAGAGAGGGCGACAAAAGCAGGAGGATGTGTGAAAAGTCCATCCAAATAAAATCAAGGATCCTTATCATCCAGCACCCTCTTTGCAAAATTGACCAGTCAGATGCTCCTGGACACTCACAAATCAAGGTTGTTGTTGTTTTAATGTGCAATTGACCACAAAATGTTCAGCTAGGGGGAAACTGTGCAGCTGGAAAAATGGGCTGGGGCGGGGGAAGACTAGACATGTCAGGTGTTTATGGGTTTTTAAAGCACTTAAATGATAGGAAATATGCGGGATGGTATGGACACAAATTATATAAAGGGTCTCATTTCCATACTTTCAAACTTCCCAGAATATATTAAAATACCTTCTTCTTGGGGACCTGGCCCTCCTTTTCATCACCTTCATCTTTGGACAGTCTACACATCCTTGTAAATACAGTGGTACCTGTACTTAATTCGTTCCGAAGGTCCGTTCTTAACCTGAAATTGTTCTTAACCTGAAGCACCACTTTAGCTAATGGAGCCTCCCGCTGCCGCCGCACCACTGCCACTCGATTTCTGTTCTCATCCTGAAGCAAAGTTCTTAACCCGAGGTACTATTTCTGGGTTAGCGGAGTCTGTAACCTGAAGCATATGTAACCCGAGCTACCACTGTACCCTGAATCCTGTTTTTGCATCTTAGCTCTGTCTCACACCTTGTGTTCCTTCTGCTGCAGCCAGTGCAAAACAGCTGGTCTGGGGGGTCCACTCTGCCTATTGTGACACATACTATAAAAGATGCAAATATCTACCTGCCCAACAATGCAATCTGTCTAGATGCACCGAGGAATTAGGCAGCTGAGCCAAACCGGACCCAGCCTACCAATTCAGGTGAAAGGTTGCAATGTCTGCATCCCCTTCACAACAGCTCTTCAAAGGCTGAGTGGAGGTGGGGTAAAACAAATGGCAACAGAGCAATGAAGCAAGCTGGCATTAACAGATTGTCTCGTCCCTTACAGACTCACCCCATACCTGAGCTCCGCAAGAGAAAGCCTCCTGCAGATACTATCTTATCAGGAAGTTTGTTCCTCATTGTGTCAGAATTGGACCTTTAGTGTGGCAGCACCTGTCCTCTCATTGAACACCAGACAGACACCATCTCTGTTTCCTCTTCAGCACCTGTTGAAGACCTTCAATAAGCCTTTTAAGTGGAGATATTTATACCAGTCGGTATCTATCTTTAATGTATATAGTTTTAAACTGTACATATGCAGACACGCATATGTTTGCAGTTGTTTTAACTGTTTTAAGTATGCAATTCTTTTATATATGTTTTTAACGTGTTATTACAAGATGCTTTGAGATGCTGCATAGGAAGCAATTCATAAATCAAGTAAAGGACAACAACACTGGAGATTGGTTTCACACCCAATTCCCTTCACTTCAGCTCCTTCACCCTGCATTAAAACAACTCCACTGTACCTGCTAGTACCAAAACATTTTCTTATTGGTCTGGCTTCTGCCCAGTTATCATTGTTTTTGAAATCAAAGTTGGCCCTCTAGGTTCCACTTGTATGTGCTTGTGTGCAGCAAGACTCTATTAATAACTATTTTCATTTATCACCCTGGAGTAAAATACATTCATTTATTACACAGAGTAACAGTGGCATTGAATACTGTCCCTTTGCACAGTACGCAGAGGCGTGCTATAAATATGCTTTCAGTTATTAAATGCACATTATATTATGATCAGTGTTTCCAAGTCACTGTTTCCATATGGGATTTTATCATCTTTTCATCTGCATTGTGCAGGTAATTGAGCCCCTGAGTTGCTAAATCACTATGAATTCATTACTGATCTGAAGGGAGACACACACACACACACACACACACATTTTGCATGGACATATGCTGGGAAATAAAACCTAATGATGCACATTCATGAAATGGGTTTTTGTTCATCATCCAGTCTGCAAAAATGGAATTGTTTTCCCATGACAAAAAGTTAGAAGCTCCGGGAGAAAGTTGTGAGTTATTTTAGCTGACCTGGTCAAAGCCATCACTGGGCGGGGGGTGGGGGGAATGTCCCTAGCAATCATTATTTGGCCAGAGTCAGGAAATGAGTGTTTCTCCATACCTTAGTACACACAAGAGATACACCTTCAATTTATTTTAAATGTAGTGTAGGGTAGTGTAGTGCTGAAACTATTCCCCATATTTCATGGACATTTGTAGCATTGTCAAAAAAAGCCCTACTTTTTTATTATTGTTAGGTAGTACTTGGAGAAATGTTAATTTGCATTCAGACTCTCTTATTTGCAGCCTCTCTCTCTCCCAAGACCCAATTAAATTGTTATTTCCCCCCAAGAAATACCATCATATAGCCAAATCTGACTGAGGACTCAGATGAACATCATCATCTCATTCACTACATGATTTCCACAGACCAATGACAAATCCAAGAAGCACTGCCCTCACTCACAATTGACTTGTTCCCCCATGACATCATTACATAGCCAAAACTAATTTGCAATAGTACACATAGACATTGTTTTCTTCCCTATATGGTCCTATGGCAATGGACCAGCTAGTCAGTACCCTGGAGAGCTCCCCATAGTTAGCACTTCCTAGAACTATGTCAGAGAACTATTGCCTCAACAGCAGGCTGAAGCCTTCTTTTATAAAGGCTGGGAAAATATCTCCAATTAGTCCACCTCCCCTGAGGAACTGTCTGGTCCTTTTAAGGCCCTCTGCATTTTGCAGTGCATTAAAGGACAATTGCATTTTGTAGAATTTTAATATTATGTACAGACTTTTTGCTTGTGATTTTGCTTGCAATTGCCACAAACAGCTTAGAGACTTTGTTATATTAAACAGCATATAAGTTATTAAACTGAATTTAAACTACTTTATTATATAATCTCTGGCTCCTGCAGAGTAGAGGCAGTGAGGGTTGCATGGAGACATGTCCTCTGATCCAGACAAGCCAGGCAAAACCACGTCCTCTGTCCTGAATGCTCCAGGAGTGAGGGGAAGTGTGGCTTTGCAAACAACACTTCCACTCTGCCGCTGAGCCTGAGCGAAGCTTGTGGCCAAACATAGTGAAACACTGAGCCTTCCCCCATACCAGAATGCAAACTGAAACAATTTTCCCCCATCCCCAATCTGGAAATTCATCAGAGGAAAGAGTTTTACCATCATAGCAGAGTAGGTGTAGGGATAATGGTATGCCAGGTAGCAGACATCTTCCTTATGAGGGAAAACAATGCTGAAAGTAAGTGTGTAGCAGGATTTCCCATGGGTTTTTCCTGAAGCTGTAGCCACTGTGCAATTTTGGTAGTGGTTTCTGGTAGAAGGAGGGAGGGAGGGAAGGAGAGAGAGAGAGAGAGAGAGAGAGAGAGAGAGAGAGAGAATAACCTGTTATTCTCATTATTGCTGCTGTTGTTTATATACCACTTAATGCCCAGAAGGCTTCTAAGCATTTTACAAAATAGAAAACAAACAAACAAACAATTGCACAACACTGTTACAATACAGGGTAACTAAAAATACACTGTAATTAAAATATGCAGTGGAATAAATCCCATTAAAATATAAAGGGCCATGACTGAAATGAGCAATAAAACATCCCATTAACATAACACAGCAAGTAAAACAGCAATGAAAATAGGAGACTCTGGTCAAGAGATCAAGGGAATGCCTGTGTAAACAAGTGAGTCTTCTAGGGCCGGCAGGATGCCACTGCGGATGAGGCCTCTCATATTTCAGCAGGGAATGCCTGACTCAATAGGGTAGCAGAGGAGAATCATATGCATACAGGTCCCGCTACCCAAACAATGCATTCCCAGGAAATTGTTCATTAGGCAAGCATTCACATAATGAGCTGATTATGTCTATTATTTCCTATGGGAACATTTCTAAGCTGTGATTTGTCTGTTCTTCTTCTCTCCCTCCATACTTTCTGCCTGAAACTGGTGTGGCCAATCAGCAAAACTCAGACAAAAGAAAAATGGGTTTGTCTGATTTCTCCTGCTCCCTGATTTGTCTGATCTCTCTCCCTTCCTCCATGTTTTCTCCCTGAAATGACAGCTGCCGATCAGCAAAACACAAACAAGTAAGAAAGTGGGGGAACTCCAGCTGTTTGGATATCTGAATCAGCTGTTCATGTGGCGAGGTTTGGGTATAATTCTTTATGTTTGGATAACAGGAATTTCAGATAATGAGTTTTCTGATGGCAGGACCTGCATGTATACGAATAGGAATTTCAATTCTCCAAGTGCAAGTCCTGAGCTAACAAATATGGCACCAGCCATACACAAGCGGAAGGAATCCACATGCCCAGAGGACTCTGGAGGACAGAGGCAGAAATACCCCAGTGATGATTTAGCATGCTCAAAGGGCGTGGAACAGTGACTATCTGTTAGACAGTGCAGAGGTTCAGGGTGATCACAAGGAACAAGGATAGAAAGCATAGAATGGAGTGGCTGAAATTCTGAAGAGGGATCACTCCATACTGCAATATTTTGTTGCAGGTCTCATTTTGCTGCTGGCTAATTTCTTAGATTCAAGGAATTTCAATGCAACACTGAGCTTTTGAAACTGACTTACGACCACTGCAACCTGACTAATGACTAACATTTCAGAGTCTCATTTTTTCTAGTTTTAAGGTCAGATTTACCCCATTTCTGCACCAGTTTGTGATTTAAACAAAAACAAAAACATCTTTTTCAAGTTTGCACAAAAAACCATATGCATTTGCTCATACATTTTTCATAATATGCATATTTTTGTATGTAATTTTGCCTAATATATGAATTTCTACAAGCAGTTTTCCCCAATATACCTATTTCTCTACTTGCACTTTGACATGCTTTCGAACTGCTAGGTTGGCAAGAGCAGGAACAGAGCAACGGGAGCTCACCCCGTCGCGGGGATTCGAACTGCTGACCTTCTGATCAGCAAGTCCTAGGCTCTGTGGTTTAACCCACAGCGCCACCCGCGTCCCTACGAATCAGATGGAAGTCACACCTAATCCAGCACCCTGTTCTCACAATTGCCAACCAGATGCCGACGAGAGGGCCAAAAGGAGGACTTGAGCTCAACCCACTTGTGATTCCTACTTGCAAGCCAAATGATTTCTCTTCCATTCCTACTCCTGATCTGAGAACACAAAAACCAGGAGCGTCATTCCCAAAGGTTTGGTGTATGGGAGAGGCAAAGTTTGCAGCATGCTTCAAAGGCATTCTCTTGTTGCATATATTCAAAATGAAACCAGGGGCGGGGGAGAGAGAGAGAGAAGCTGGGTATGCGGAAAGCATTTGTTCTTGTTAACTTTTCTATTAGGGTGACCAGATGGAAAGGCAATGGAATTACTTTTAATAGCACTGGAGAAGGGATTTCAGCAGGTTCAGCTTCTCACACCACTGCATGACAAGCTGCCCTAATCGAAATCCCCTCTCCTACACAATAATCAAAGGTACAGGAGTCCTGGTTTCTTTTGCCGATCCTAGTTTTGACTGTTTGTAATGTCTGAAGGTGTAGCTGTTTCTGGTAGTAATACTCACCTGTAACAACATCTCCTCGGATTGCCTCCCTGTTTAGCATCATAGGAAGCTAGCTGCCTTATACTGAGTTCAGACCATGGGTCCATCTAGCTCAGTGCTTCCTACACTGACTGGCAGTGGCTCTCCAGGATTTCAAAGAGGAGTCATATCTAGCCCTACTTTGAAGATGCTAGTGAACCTGGGACCTTCTGCATGCAAACCTGATGCTCTACCACTGAGCTATAGCCCTTTCCCTAATTTTGAAAGTAAGATGCGGGTGGTGCTGTGGTCTAAACCACAGAGCCTAGGGCTTGCCTATCGGAAGGTCGGCGGTTCGAATCCCCGCAATGGGGTGAGCTCCCGTTGCTCGGTCTCTGCTCCTGCCAACCTAGCAGTTTGAAAGCAAGTCAAAGTGCAAGTAGATAAATAGGTATTGCTCCAGTGGGAAGGTAAACGGCATTTCCGTGCGCTGCCCTGGTTCGCCAGAAGCGGCTTAGTCATGCTGGCCACATGACCCGGAAGCTGTACGCCAGCTCCCTCGGCCAATAAAGCGAGATGAGCACCGCAACCCCAGAGTCGGTCACGACTGGACCTAACGGTCAGGGGTCCCTTTACCTTTTTAAGCAGCTTTGTAGGAAATTTACCATGGCAGATGGCTCCTTAGGCCTGCTGCCATCAAGTAAGTTTGCAGCTGGTGGAGGCACTGATGGCCTTGCGCATTTCTGCACCCCACCCTGACCTGGAGCCAACCCAGGCAGAAAGCAGGAATGCAAATGTTTCACATGTTTAAACAAAGGAAGGGTTGTTCCTGCAGATTGACCATGGCTGGATGCTTATGCTTCTGCCACGTTCTGTCTGCAACACCTTTAGCCCTGCCTTGATTCTGATTAAACATATGCACGCACACGCGCACACACACACACACACACATATCACACTCCCCAGGAAAATACAAATCTTAAGAACGGATGTTCCTTCTCTGTCATCACCTGGTCTTTTGCAATGTATCATTTTTTTAAGAGCCAGCTTCAAGGGTGATGGTGAAAGAGTTCCCACTGGCTGAGATGAAGAGCCAATTCACGCATTTCAGAGCAACCGCATCGCACCAAATTGCATCTGCAAGTACATCTCAGACAATAATTTCCCCTGCCTAGCACCAATTATGCTGTTGCTAAACCTTCCCATTCTGAAGGACTCTGTGACACCCCTCCCCCTCCTATTGTTTTAAAAAAGATATCTTATCAGCATTGTATTAAAATGCAAAATATAAGGAAGGTACCGAAAGATGCAATTTCAACTGCTGAAATTTACACAAACTGTTTATTTCCCTTGTGTTGGTGTTGTTTTTATTCAGTGGGGCAAAGTCTCAAGATAATCATTCTCCTGAAACCCCATGGCCTAATCATAGCTTCTTTTGTATGAGACATAAAATAATTTGTTGACTTACAAGAATGAAATGGGTGGAATAGAAGCAACAACAACAACATCAAGCTGATAGTTCAGTTGGTTAGAGCCTGGTGTTGATAATGCCAAGGTTGCAGGTTCGATCCCCGTATGGGACAGCTGCATATCCCGGCATTGCAGCGGGCTGGACTAGATGATCCTCAGGGTCCCTTCCAACTCTACAATTCTTTCATTCTATGATTCCTTTCAGAGCAGTCTTCCTCAACCTGCTGCATGCCAGATGTTTTGAACTACAACTCCCATCAGCCCCAATCAGTGTGGCCAATGGACAGGGATGATGGGAGCTGTAGTCCAAAATACCTGGAGGGCACCAGATTGGGGAAAGCTGTTCTAGACATTGCATTTCTTAGCTCAGAAGCTGTCTTCCAACTTCCAGAAATGTGAGTTCTGATTTTGCTACCATAGTATTACTTTGCACATGCACAGAAGCATTCCCCGCCATCTATCTCAGGAGGTAGGTCAGAGAAGAAGAAAAATACATTCTCACACTGACTCCAATTTAGCTAAAGTTAGTGATGACTTACAGTATGATTTTATGCATGTCTACTCTGAAGTAATAATAAATAACAAGATGAAAGACTTACTCTGAAGTAAGTCTCATTGGGTTAGTTCAGGCACAGGCAAACTCAGCCCTCCAGATGTTTTGGGACTACAACTCCCATCATCCCTAGCTAACAGGACCAGTGGTCGGGGTGATGGGAGTTGTAGTCCCAAAACATCTGGAGGGCTGAGTTTGCCTGTGCCTGGGTTAGCTGAATGGGTCTTAACTCTTTTGGCTGCAATCCTACATCCTCTCACCTAGGATTAAGTCTCTTTGAACTTAATATGATTTATGTCTGTGTAGATAGCATAGCATGGAGCTGTTAGTCCCATTGAAATGGAAGAAACACTTTAGAACCAAACTACATGTTACATTAAACCTACTGAAAAACTGAACTACTTATGCAGAGGCTGTAGTTCAATGATAAAACACCTATTCTGCATGCAGGAGGTGTCATTCTTGATCCCTAAAATCTCCATTGAAAAAGACCAGGGATGAAAAAGACCAGGCACCCTGGAGGACTACTACCAGTCTCAGATAAGATTACAGGTAGAGAACCTCATGACTATAGAGACAATGCCTCTCTGTCTGGCCCTCAGAACTTTCAGCAGACCACACCTCCCCAGAAGCCCTGCTTCACATCCTCCTTGAGTGATTTTGCCTGGCTGGAATGTGTCCTTAAGCTCTGTTCATGCTTCTTGCTTGCCTGGATAGAGGACAGAAGGTGTGTGGGATGGGGGGGTTGTGTGTGGGTGTGTAAAAACTAGCCTGTTGTACAAAGGCACCATTTGCTCTGGC